TATTCTAAGGCCTCTCTTACAATTTTACTTTGAATTTTTCTTTACCATATGGAGGCCATCGTGATTAGAATCCAAAAAAGGAGGATACTTTGGTTTCCTGTAAACAATTGTGCCAATGAACAATTAAATTTAAGCAGTACTTCCTGGAAAGATTTTTGTATAGTATCTTTTTCAAGAAGAAAAAAGTTGAAATTACAGCTTGAAAACCTGGATCAATTGGGATGCCTTGCTCTTATTCGTTGAGCTATGTGTCATTTTTCTTAGGACCATGAGTTATTTTTGTTTTGTCGTATGATTTTTATTAACATAAGGATTGAGTTGAAAAGGTTTGACAGAAACCTTTTACAGTAACTTGTGCCTCATAAATAGCTGCATACATACATGCAATTTTATGTTTTGTTCTTGAAATAGAGATTGGAGATACCTAGTATTTTTCCCCTTCCTTTGTTTTGCGTTGTGTTAGATTAGTCAGTACTCTTTTTTGTTTTGATCTTGCTTACATCTTTAGTTGGAATTGATTGCAGCTGCTAGGGCTTTGGATGTGTTGAACTTTTCTCCTGTGAATGGAAGGCCCATTAGGATTATGTACTCTCATCGTGATCCTAGTATTCGCAAAAGTGGGTCTGGCAACATATTTATTAAGGTATTCCTTTTTTAACTTTTTATGCAACACCATTATACTTTCATGTTATGGTTGTCTTCAGTTTTACTTGTCCTATATCCTTCCTGACACCTTTACTTGCATTAATTTTTCCAGAATTTGGACAAAGCTATTGATCACAAAGCCTTGCATGATACATTTTCTGCATTTGGAAACATCCTTTCTTGCAAGGTGGCTACAGACTCCGTTGGCCAGTCAAAAGGCTATGGCTTTGTACAATTTGACAATGAAGAAGCTGCCCAAAAGGCTATAGAGAAGTTGAATGGTATGCTTTTAAACGATAAGCAAGTTTTTGTTGGTCCTTTCCTCCGGAAGCAGGAAAGGGACAGTACTGCTGACAAGTCAAGATTCAACAATGTTTATGTAAAGAATCTATCAGAGTCAACTACTGAGGAAGATTTGAAAAAAGTTTTTTCTGAATTTGGGATAACCACTAGTGAAGTTGTGATGAGGGATGGAGATGGAAAATCGAAGTGCTTTGGGTTTGTCAATTTTGAAAGGGCTGAAGATGCTGCTAGAGCTGTTGAGGCTCTGAATGGAAAGAAATTTGATGATAAGGAGTGGTATGTTGGGAAGGCCCAGAAGAAATCTGAAAGGGAAAATGAATTGAAACAACGATTTGAACAGAGTATGAAAGAGGCAGCAGACAAGTATCAAGGCGCGAACTTGTATGTTAAAAATTTGGATGATACTATAGCTGATGATAAACTTCAGGAGCTATTCTCTCCATTTGGGACTATTACCTCATGCAAGGTGTGAATTGTGTGGACCCTGTTTTGAATTGCAAAGTGCAATGCACTTGTGTAATAACCATCATCATTTTGTATTGGTATGGCCTAACATAGTTTTTTTTTGTTTGTTGACATGTGATCAGGTCATGCGAGACCCTAGTGGAGTTAGTAGGGGATCAGGTTTTGTTGCATTCTCAACTCCTGAAGAGGCAAATAGAGCTGTAAGTTGATTTCATGCGTGGGTTAATATAGTGCTTCTATAGTCTTATTCCAACTTCCCTCATTTTGGTTTTGTAGAAGGACAATATTTTAATCTTGCTGCCATGACCAACCATGGGTAGTGAGATTCATGGCTGCCCTCATCTTTTAACCCAAAAAAAATTAGGGGTTAGGATTTATGAATATTGTAGAATATGGGGGCTCTTATGGGTAATGTGCGTTGGTGAGCGTGTGCGCGCGTCTTTTATTCCTCAATAATAGTGTTTAGTGAAAATAAGTATGGGGTGGGATGAGCAGAATGGGAGATAAACAGAAAGACCAGCACATAAATTCTTTTTACTGTTAAAGAAATAAAAGTTTTATTTTTGTTATTGTTTTATAGCTATTGGAGATGAATGGAAAGATGATTGTAAGCAAACCTCTGTATGTTGCACTTGCACAACGAAAAGAAGATAGAAGAGCAAGGCTACAGGTATGCCTTATATTTGCCCTCCCACACATCATACTTTTAAGATTGGCCTAACATCAATTGATAAATAGTTCTTCTGTATGCAATAAGTTATGTTCCGACAAGATCCTTAATGTGGGGTGCAGACTAAAATATCTTGAAGATACTTATACTATTTAACATGTGGCAAAATTGTTTTAGTATTGTTGTGTTATGGACATTTGCTGCTTGCACAGGCTCAGTTTTCTCAAATGCGGCCAGTTGCAATGGCACCTCCAGTTGCTTCTCGTATGCCAATGTACCCTCCTGGTGGTCCAGGTCTTGGACAACAAATATTCTATGGTCAAGGCCCACCTGCTATCATTCCCTCCCAGGTAAAGAATTTCATTCTTTTGACGGTTTACCTTTTTTTCTTTTATTTCACTGTTTATAATTTTATATATGGATAAGATGTTCACTGGTCTTAGTTAAACTACTAGTGTTTCTGGGCACTTTGCTGTTTCAGGTTCTGATTAGTTTTAGTTGTGTACTTGCATGACTGGACACAGATTTAAAGTGTTACCCCAATTACCTGACTTTTTGTATTTTTATTTTATTTTTCTTTTGTAGCCTGGATTTGGGTATCAGCAGCAGCTTGTTCCTGGTATGAGGCCTGGTGGGGCTCCAATGCCAAATTTCTTTGTGCCAATGGTTCAGCAGGGGCAGCAAGGGCAGCGTCCTGGTGGCAGACGTGGAGGTTCTGTCCAGCAAAACCAGCAACCAGTTCCCATGATGCAACAGCAGGTTGGATGCATGTTGTCCTGATGTAGTCTTTAGTATTTTTATTTGTTAACATTTATCTGATGACCTTTTACTGACAGATGCTACCAAGGGGGCGTGTCTACCGCTACCCATCTGGTCGAGGTATACCTGATGGTCCCATGCCTGGTGTTGCTGGAGGCATGTTTTCTGTTCCATATGACATCAGCGGCGGTGGTGGCATGCCTATCCGTGATGCAGCACTGTCTCAGCCAACAATTCCAATAGGGGCTTTGGCTACTGCTCTTGCAAATGCCACACCAGAGCAGCAAAGAACGGTATGCTTTTGTGTTTCTTTGTCCATTAATTGTTCTGAGATGGAAATATAGTTTCTGTAAATTTAGTTCCTAGTGCTTTTCATACGTTCTCTTAAACTAAGCTGTATGCCTATTATTAAATCGTCTTTTGGGGGAAATTTGCAGATGCTGGGTGAGAATCTTTACCCACTCGTGGAACAGCTGGAACCTGACAATGCAGCAAAGGTTACCGGCATGCTTCTGGAGATGGATCAGACTGAAGTTCTTCATTTGCTCGAGTCGCCTGAAGCTTTGAAGGCAAAGGTAGCTGAGGCTATGGATGTTCTGAGGAACGTTGCTCAGCAACAGCAAGCTGGCAATGCAGCTGATCAACTTGGCTCATTGTCACTCAATGAAAACCTTGTTTCGTGAGAGTTTTTATCTTCGGAATGATGGATTGAGATACTTGTAGGGTGTGGTTTGGATTAGTTTGAGAAGTTTCTTGCGCAGGTAGAAGCTGGTTTTGGTGTATTTCCGTGAGCTTTCGGAGTTTATTTTGAGATTGTGACGTTTATGCATAAATACTTCTATGCACATGTTGCTTTCCTTATTAGTTGGAGCCAACGAATGGCTCTGAGAAGTGTTGTCTCCAGAGTGAAATTGTTACATGGCCAGAGCAATTTACAGCAGCACCAAATGATCCGAGTATATTTTTTTTCATATGCAAGACTTGACTTGCTCTGGCTGTAACAATTTCAACTCTGCAAATTACATTTCCTGTGATTGAATTTGATGTGGGTTTGAACGTCAAATTGTTCCAAAGTATTGTCAAGAGAAGATCATGGGATTACGGCGGCGAGTCGGGAAAGATGCTGGCTTCCTTTTCCCCATGCGTTTTCAGGATGTGGAGTCTGCTCAGCCGAGCACTTGGGTTGTGGTTTTTACACATCTAAACTGGACTTAAAAAATTATTAGAATTGATGGGGGACGATTCGAAGGGAAAAAATTTGGATCTGATAACAACACGACTGAAACAAGAAGAGAGACTTGTATGGCCGTTGGGTTGCTAGGTATTGATTCATGATGTAAATTTAAAATAACCATGTGCAAGGGAGAGCAATTTTTATGACACGTGTACACCGTCATAGTGGCTCACGTGTCAGTGATATATGAACATGTGGAGACTAACGCATGTCCTTGTGTTATTGGCACGAGATATTATGCTAACACTGTACTCGTGTCATAAATAATTTATTATGCCAGGAGTCGTAATTTCAGCAGTCTTCATTTTCTTGATCCATTTTCAATCTATTGATTGTTGTCTTCATTTTCTCATTCAGTTTTCGGTATATTTAGGGGTGGGCATAAATATTCTTCTATTGTAGTTCATCATTCTTTATGATTGGTCATGCATGTATTTTGTTGTGTGATTCAATTACTATCTTTTAGTATAAAAATCCGTTGACCTTTTTTTGTGCTCTAAATATATGTTTGTAAGATCCAAACGATTTATTATTCAAAACCATGAACTGGCGTGAACCGAACTGTAACCGTCGTGAATCGAATAGTACAGTTTTAGAAATAAATTTAACCAAACCGCACCGAACTGAACCGTTAATATTTCCCGATTCCAGTTTAAATGTGAGAATGAAACCGGACCAAACCAAGCCGTGCCCATATATCGACCGTTATCATTACCGTACGCTTGTATTCCAGTGAAGTGCGACACAATAAAGGAAGAGTACAATACCAAATTATTACAATTAATCCTCAGATAAATTTCTACATTTTATGAAAAATAATTTCAATCCCGGTATTTTAGAAACGCGTTGTCGATGTTTGCAATGCGAGAGGGGCAACAAAGCAATTTCATAACTAGGAATCAATTAGAGCATGACAGACGAATAATTGATGGGCGTTAACACCCAACGATGGACGAAAACTAAACGCGAGGTAAAAACATGTGAGTATATTAAGACAATTTTGCATTCATGTACTCTAATTTACTATTTTAAGAAAGCATTATATGCACAAACTCGAAGACAACTCTAACAACAGATACTTGAATACCGTTTGTTACCATCCACATCCCACGGAGGTGACGTTCAAAACCAATACTAAATCGGGACGTATATATCTAAAGCTTCATAAACCGGCATCGATTAAGACCAAGACCAAGACCTACTGATTTGTCTAGGAAATCAGGCATCAACTCGGTTAACGTGCCTTAGCCGGAGTCCTATATCAACTTCTCGGTCGTACCGGATTAGCCCGTTGGTTTCGAAGTTAGAGCCCTGCACTTCCGAGGATGTCCCTGCTTCGTTTTGCTTCTCTTCGATTGCTTCTCCAAAGTTATGAAGCCTACGACCAACTAGATACCGGTCGTCACGTATTGAGTTGTGAAGGTTGGTGAACCAGACATGGAATCTCTTGGCGCAAAAGCACAACAGGCTAAAGCAAAGGCATCCCAGCCAGGCAAACCGATAGACTGCTGAATTCACCACTAATGGGTAACCGAGAACAGGAAATAGCCCCCTGGCAAGTACGTAAGGCACACACAGGGCAGTCAACAACTTCATTATGATTGGGAATACAATCTCGCGAAGCACCCAAAGACCTTGCAGCCTAGAGAAACCGTCTTCCCTCACCCTTTCGAACTTTACTCGCCATGTTTCATCCACCAGTGGCATCATGTGATCCAACATAACCTGCACAAGCGCATAACAAGCACCAGCGATAAAAAATAAAAACCAAACTACTTTGCGATAGAAAATCCTCAACGTAAAGAAGTTGCACAGATTATGCAACAGGTTATTTTATAAGACCACGTACCAGTCTAGTCCATATCTTGAGAAAAATAAGGCCCAATGCCCAGTCCTGGTAAAGCAAGAACACTGGGCTTTCATCAACAGGCACACGCATCGGCACGATCACCAGAAGCTCAAAGAGCAGCCCAATCAATACCGGAATGACAAAAATCTGAAACAATAAATGTATGTCAGAATGAAAACACATACGAACCTGATATAAAACAAGGATTTATAGGAGTAAAAAACCAAATGATTCTTACCCATATTGACAAAAGTGCGGAACTCTTGATAACAATGGCACACCACTTCCAGATCTGGCCTAACAGAACTGCAACCCTCTTTGTTCGAATATGCTCAATTGAGTATCTTACTCCGGCCACAGCAGTCCATATTATGTAGCTTCCAATGATGAAAGCATACAAATCTAAAAAAAGAAAGGGCACGAAAATTCAGCAGTTGTATCCCAGATGTATGAAACGTAACATTGAGAAGAGAAATTACCATTGCACTTGATTCCATGTGTTATAGGGAGAAAAGGAATGACATTGAAAATTGCCCTTCCAAGTGAGGTTGGTACGACTATTAAGGCAGAGTTGAAGACAAGTAACGTCATCCAAGCCACCACCAACAAGAGTACAATGCGAAGCACAAAACTGTACCTTCTGAAAAACAAAAAGAAAAAGATATTAGTAACTAGAAGACATAAAACCGGTTAATAAAATCAACTAAAACACACAGTTCAAAGATGCAAACAGGTATATGAAAAAAAAGGACTTCATGACATAAAATTGTTTAGTAAGAACAGCTGCAATTTTTTTACAAGTTTTCTATCTCAAAGCAGGAAAGCAAACCAAGAAAATTAGATTCAGGTAGCACAATAAGGACAATTCTTGAAAATCAGCCTGCAATAATACAAGATAGGATTCGAATGAAATCAATTTGTATGGATTCTCCAAACTTACTCAGAATCAGATTGTTCATCTGTGTCATACTCTTCTGTGACAATTGAGTCCCCTGATGCAAGAATGCCCGCATTAGGATCATCAGCACCTGGAAGTGCCACCAAAGCCTGATCATGTACCCCTAGTTGAACTTGTACTCTATCCTGTCTACCTGGCTCTGCATTTCCATTTTCCTGAGCACCATTGTCCTCAGGTCTGGGAAGTAAGAATTCCGTTAAACCAAGTGCCCAACCAACTGCCGTAAACCAATAACGGAGGAGGGATTTAATCGTTGTCCGTAATTTGAAATGCTCAATGGCGAATGGAATGCATATTTGAAAAAGAAGCATGTCCGCAGGAATTTCAGTAAATGGGTCCGACACCCTGCCAATGGGGAAAAGGCACAATTTAGAGAACAATATAAAATATCAAAAATATCACTGCAGTTAGAGAATAATAAGTGACAAGGAAGAATAGAGGGTCATCTTACGAGATGTCAAGAGGAAAAATGGAAGGTGCCATCCGCATAGCTAGTTTAACCGGTAAAAACACCAGCATCACAATTAAACTCCCATACACCGCAACAGATAACAGGACCCTGCGGGCATGTTTGTGCACCGGATCATCAATAAGATCGCGGAAGGGATTGTAGTTTGGATCAGCTGGATCTCTAAGGAAATAAAGAACTCCATTACGCAGAACCTGCAGGAAGAACATAGGACAAAAAATACATGTAAAACTGGTGTTTGGAAAAGCAAATTAGTCATACGACTAAGATGGCAAAGTACAATACCCCTCGAAGAAGACTGACGAATATGCTTATTTGTAGCATGTATACAATTCCAACAACCCAATGGACCAGTGAACTGGCTAAGGGAGATGCTGAGAAGAATTGAACCCTGTGAGACATGGACTTCCCAAACATCCTTATTGTGCAAACATCTAGCCACCATCCACACATCAATGGAAATACCCCCAGTTCAATGACTAGAAGAAATGCAACCTTAATCATAGTCATCAAATGCCTCATTGCTGCCAAGAACTGCCTGAAGAGAGATGGAATTGTCTCTGCCATAGAAGCAATACCGTAGAACCTTCCCAAAGTCAATGGCTCACCCCTAGTGTACCGAATCAAAGCAACAATGCCAAGGTAGAAGAAAACTAGGGAGAATATAAACATGTATCCAATAGCAAGAGTTGTAACATCAGACAGCCTTGATGTCCCAAGTGTTGCCCCTTTCAGGAAGTCTGCTGAAAGTGGTGAACTTATATTGTTTGCTACCTCATTTAGTCCACTCATGTTTGCTTTCAAGGTCTCTTCAACCTGGCCAACCATACCACTTTGTTGGCTTTCAGATGATACATTCGTTACGGCTGTTAATGCATTCTTCAATGTCACATTTGCCAAGGAAAGGGCTGATTCTGTGAGTGGCATGACCGTGGACAATACCGGACGAGTAGCAGTGGAGAAAAGCCAAGACAAATGATAGAGTATAATCCGACCAATTGAGAAAGGCACAAAGATTACTACACCAAGGAATATCATATTGCTGGCCAGAACCTGAAGAAAGAATTGGAACCATTCAATGTATTTATACAAATTACATAAAAAAATCCTTATACAACAAAGACTCCTAAATGAGCCACTACCACTGAAAATTGACCTCAACCAATTAGCACACACAATACAGATGCATAAACAAGCTATAGTTGCCAGAACAATTAGAAACAAAACGAGAAAGAAAATTAAAAAGAGAGAACAACCTAAAAATAGAAATATAAGAGCATTAACTATTTATCAGGAAACATAATCTAAAGAAGAGGGAGGAAAAGAGCAAAACGAAAACTTACAGTGAATGCATTTTCAACTAAATGAAATACAGGTCCCTGCATGCCAACGAGCTCATCAAACGGTACATCCTCGGCGCCATCAGCATCATCCAGACCATCAAACATCTGTTCCACATGAGCTTCAAGACGAGCTGCCTGCATCTCCCACCGAGCAGCAACATTTTCTGCATTCCTTCTAATCATTTGACCTGCTCCGGCAATCCCTTGTGCTCCGGCAGCATCTTCCCCATTCACATCACCAACAAAGTTCCTGTTAGCTTGTCCAGGAGCTCTCCTTGCAGCACGGGCACCATTTCTTTCCCCTTCATCTTCTCTGTCAGCATCCTGTCCTCCTAGCTCACGTAAATGCCTGAAGTAATCCCTCAGAGAAGTGGCCCCGAGAAAAATAAACACAATGCTAGCAGAAAGTAGGAACCCATGTAGACAATCGGTAAGGATTACTGTAGTGGATAAATGACTAAGGAATAATCTCTGAGCTTCACCAAAACTCCTCACAAAAGCCAACCGCCATATCCAAAATGTAATAAAAGGTATAATGAGGAGCCAAACAGAAAGCACAAAACTAAGGCGCAGAAAGAATTGCAGAACATGGCAAGTTTTCATTGCCATCCCAACTACAAACTCTTGAAAAGGAAGCCTTGCAGGGGCATTCTCAGCATAAACTGGAGAGAAGGAAAATGCATGCTTGCAAACCTGCAATGCATGTAAAGTAATCATGAGCTCCCGAGAACATAAAATTAAATCACCAGTAAGCTTAAGCACAGATTGAATGACAATTTGAAAAAGATAAGAAATAAAGGACCACCATGTTGGAGCTCCCAATGAAATCCAACCCAACTTATATGTTGATTAGATTTATTCAAGGTCCAAGATAAATGGTATAAGCTCAAAACAGTTCACAATCCTCCGCTAGGATATTAACACGTAGCAACTTCTGCCTTTCGAACTTGGGCGTAATGCTGGAGTTTAGCTTCTTACTAACACAACGATATTGTTTTCTTCTCTAAACCATTGCCTCCCACCACACAATCCTAAACAAATTTCAAATATATCTTGCTCTTTCGTTTTCGTTTTCTATCTAGTAAACGGAAGCACTCCCACGCACACTAGCATACAATAATCTTGTGGTTCTCATATCATATGGTTGAGTTAAGACCCCCATAATACAATGATGAACTAACAGGAAAATGATTTCAGAGTTGAATAAAAAGCTCAACTTCGTTTTGATTACTCAAAACGACACCGCTTAACTCCCTTACCAATATCATCAACAAAAGGGGTAAAATAAACCCTATAACTCTAATCTAATCAATTCCAAACTCTTATTTGAAAATTTGAGGGATTGCAGACACCAATTCAATCACCCACAGAGACCGAAATGGACAAAATTCAACAAAATCCGATCACAGAGAGAGAGAGAGAGAATTGAACCTCGCATTGGCGAGCATTGCTGTGATTGAGCCACTGCAGGAGGCAATCCTGGTGCACAAATTTGATGCTTCCGCTACAAGCGCACGGGTACCGGAGCGGGTTATCGGCGTCGCCCGGGTTTCTACAGATCCGGCACACGTCCTCCTCCTCTTCCTCATCGTCGTACTTGACCGCCACCGACGACGCCGACGAAGACAAGGTCGTCGTCGCCGCCGCCGCCGCGGCGCTCGCTTCGTTCTCCTGAGACGACGACGTCTTGCCGGTATCGATTGGGATGTCCCGGTCAGCGGACGGCGGCGGGGCCGGGGCGATCTCCATGGATCGGTCAAGGGTGGGTCGGAGTCCGCGTTGGGTATTGTCGATCGGTCCTAGGTGGGGGCGTTTGAAATGATGACGAAAGATGGGTGGGTTTTTGGGTCGTGGTGGGAGAAGATGGCGATGGGTAATCTTAGCGGGGAGTGTATTTTATGTTCCGGATTTGCCCCCGCTGGCCTTCAATTGATTCGGGGGTATGTCGGTGATTTTACGTTGGAGGTGTTCGTGGGGGTGACGTGGACGCGGGTGGACGTAGAGTTCGTTTGGTGCCGGGAAGTTTCGACGGTCCCCAAAGCACATCACGTCACCAATCACGTTAAAATCTAGGAGTGTCGTGATTAACTTTGAAGATTAAGTTTAACTTACCACAGAGCTGAAATTGGATATGGGTAGAAGACTGACAATATCGGGGTGGTGGCGCAGTTGGCTAGCGCGTAGGTCTCATAGCTTCTGAGTTATCCTGAGGTCGAGAGTTCGAGCCTCTCTCACCCCATTTCAGTTCTCTTTTTGGTTTTTGGCAAATTATATTTCTTTTATTCTTCTAGAAATCCTTCTGAGCTCACCCCCAATAAACTCCCAAGAGATTTTTTATTTTCCTAAGGGAAAGGGGTGGAGTTAGTCTTACAATGGACTAGCAATAATGTAGTTCAAATTTGTCTTTGACGATAATCGAACTTAAGTTTTTCACTAACAAGTGAAAAGACCGTAATACTAAGTGGCAACTCCCAAAAGATATTATGCAACTGATTTTACAACGGCTCTTTCTATCAGATTCGCTTTGATAGTATAATAGAGCATGTCAAATCCTAGGTGGATATATGACATCAAAAATCCTTTCAACCGAAGTGTTATTTGCTGATTGGATTTCAAGGCCTTGTGTTTTGGATTCAAATTTGGCATCAATGTCAATTTTTTTTATTAATTTAATAGTGGATCCCTTAAGGGTGCGTTTGGTACGCAGACGGGACGGAACGGGACGGGACGGGACGGGACGGAACGGGACGGGACGGGACGGAACGGGACGGAACGAAAGTGTAATTTTTGAAAAAGGCATGGGGTATATTTGTCTTAAAATGGTAAAACATTGTGTTCCACATACGTGGAACAAACCCGTTCCAGGGGGTGGAGGTGGGACGCAAAAACACCCAAAATCTGTCCTGTGGAACAGCCCGTTCCACCCATTTTTGGCGCACCAAACGCGGGACGGAACGCCTCGTCCCGTTCCGTCCCGTCCCGTCCCACGTACCAAACGCACCCTTATTCCACTAACATTTTCCTTTTCAACAATTCTTTTTAATAAATATAACCATTTGACAACTCGGTTGGAGAAACACAAAATTTGACATAAGACCTCAGATTGCCACATCAGCCATCAATTGAAATTTGACTCTAAGGGGGCTGTAGTCAATCTAGGATAGGAGGATTTTAAAAGATTTGATAGGATTTGAAAACTTCTACAAACTCCATATGAATTTTTAAGGATTTCTACGGACTTGATTTATTAATTTGATTGATTTTTATAGGTTACTAACAAAACCTGCTGAGATTTTGCATCAGAAGAAGGTCAACTTGTTTGAGTGATTTTTCTTCTGTCTTTTTTTTTTTGTGATCAACTTCTTTCCTCCAACTTTTCTTCCCCCACTATTTGCAGCCATTTTTTCTCCTCTTCAGCCATCTTCTGCCGCTATATATTTGGCATCGCCTTACTCCTCATTTTCGTGTTTTGTCAACCAATATCCAGTGGAAACCAACCAAATCTTAAATTATTGACGCATAAAGAAATGAAGAAGGAAACCACCAATGCCCATTCCTTGTTTATTATTTCTTAGAGAAAGACTATCATATATAGCCATTTTCTAACCAACACTTACTGAATTGCACCTAGCCAGATTAAGTGCATACTTTACTTTTTTCCTTCAGAGACAACTTATACAAGGTGTGGATACATTGCATAAATGAGATAATGTAATGACCCAAAATTTATTCAGAAGCGAAATACAGTGATACACTAAAAATACAGTCATGGTTAATCTTTACTCTATTATCCATCTTAAATCGACTTACTTGACAATTATTCAAAAATTAATTCAGTTACTTTATGGCTGCGTCTGACCTTCTTGTTAGACTGCATACGTACCTTAAAAGGGAACAAGCCATTCGTAGTTCACTGTCATACTTAAATTGTTTATCCTTTAAATATTCAAGTGGTGGACGTTACAATATTAGATTCAAAAAATCAAATCACATCAAACGAATGTCAAATATGAAATCAGAATATTGAATTTAGCTTAAAAAAAGAAAAAGAAATCAAAGTCAGCCCATTGGCCACGGCGACAGTTTTTTATGAACGGATACCCAATTTTCCGACTAACTCTAAAAATTTTCAAATTTCACATAATTGTAGTACACAACAAGGAAAGAATTTTCATACATGGGCCGAAGTCCAATTCGGCCGAGAAGTGGTCTAAAAACACCACGATCTGACAGAACCTAAAAAAGATGAGCTTCGATTCGACATCCAACGGACTCTGATGCCTCAACCAAGGCTTGGGCCTTCATCCTAGGTTCATATGAAGTTCCTTGGTGGTGGTGATTGACTGCGAGGCTTCCAGAATTGGAGGATCACCGTCGCTACACTAACTGGTGCACTAGATCTGTTCATTGGGAAAAGAGAGTTGAAATGGCTCAGGTTTTTTGTGGAAATAGGAGAGGAGATCGGGGATGAGTTTCTAAGTGGTGGCTCGGTGCAATTCTTTGGAAATTGGCCGGAGAAAATGTCGAATTTCATGGCTGTGGTCTGGTCGAGTCGTGCAAGGAAATAGGTCGAGGGTGGATCTGCTTCCCTCCTTCTCTTTTCCCTCATTTCCCTTCTTTCCTACTCTTCCTATTAGCCCGTCCACTCTCTCATTTCCCTCATTTCTCTTCTCCTTTCTCCATAACAGCTAGACATATGGCACCCCAGATGGCTACTCAGCAAAGCTGGAGCTTTCTAAATAAATGGTCAAATGACCATTTTGCCCTTACCTTTTCTCGTTTATATCTCCTTCGTTATAACTCTGTTTCACGAACGATTTTAGCCTATGCGCTTGTAGGATCGACCTCTATCCAAATATGCCAAGAAATGCAGTGAAACATATAAGGATAAAGTACATCCTCGTATAATTCTGTTTAGCCAACTAGGGGCAATTTCATCGTTTTAAACTTATCAAAACAATTATATGCCGTAAATATAAATGCGTCGTAACCCAAATACGACTACAAAATATTTAATACTAAAATCCAGGAATGGGATTTCACATTTCTCCCCATTTAAATTTCATAATCATCAATTAATTTGAATTTCATAATTGAATCACATATTTAAAAATAATTAGAGTATTACAGATACCCTGGAGCTATATATTGTTAACTGAGCTGAATTAATTAATTTCTTCTTATGAGATTGCAAGTGAATATTGAAAGTAAAAGAATTTACCAATTTAACATCTCCTATATTCCTTGAACTTTGAAAGTAGATGGGTATACTACCTTTTCTCCATCATATATATTATTACTTCATAAGCTGAAGCAAGCTTTCCAATACTTTGCAAATAACTTAATAAGGTGTTGTAAACAGTAAAATTCGGATCACAGCCTCTGGATTCCAAAACTTTGAGCATGGAGCATGCTTCCTCAAGCTTTCTTGGCATACAAAGACCACGAATGATAGCATTGTATGTAAATACATTTGGAGTTGGCAAAAACTATATCTACCATTCTTATATTCTTTTGTGGGTTGTATTTGACGTTTGATTGTGTTTCTGGTACTGGGTTGGAAAAGAGGGGTTGTAAGTTAACATGGTGTTGAGACATGGCATAATTGGACTCAAAGAAGATAGGATTAATGACAATGACCGGTGAGAAGTGAGGAATGAGGAGAGAGGATTAGAAGAACATAAGCTAGATTTGAAATCCTAGAGGGTGAGATGTGATTCTTTTTTGTTTTGGTTATATACACTTCACATAGATTTATAATCACTCTAAAAAAATTAATAAAAATCTCAATTGGCTACCCATAAATTTTGATGTAATTTTAAAATCCTCTTAAATCCTACTTTGATTACACCATGATTTCAAAGTCTTTTAAAATATTCTTTTAAAATCCTAATTGATCACACTTTGATTTCAAAGTCCAATAAAATCTTATCAAATCCTATATTGACTAATAATTTGACATTTTCATTAGAGATGGCCTTAGGTGAATGATTTTAAATTCTACCAAAATGTGTAATGTCTGAATTGTATTCGCCTCTTATAGTTTTAAATTCCAATTCAATATATTGGCCAATTCAAGTTTGGCTTGAACTAATCTATATTCAATTTTAAATTCTCTATATGCAGAAATCAACTAGCTAGTCTAGTACTATACTACTATGTCACTTATAAAAAGTAGTGCCATCTACATACTTCATTTTAATTCACACACAATTACTATTAACTTATGTCCCTTGATTCTCTTTAATTAATTTAATTCAAGGACAAAAGATTAAGTGGTGTATGAATAACACCACTCCTTTTAAATTTTTGAAGTTCGAGTTCCATCTCAGCCAATAATAAGAATAAGAAATAACCTACACTCAAGAACCTACATATTATATCTTGAATTATCATATAAACAAAAATCACATTAACAACACAAAAAAATCTTAGTGGCAATGTAAGACAAGCTCAAAGCATTATATAAAATAATCATAAGTTTACCAAAATAAATGCAAAGCTTATTAATTAATTAAATTTGGTAGGGACTAAAACAAGTAATGATTCGTCTAAGGACATCATCATTGTTCAAAGGTTTTGTACATACTTTTGTTGCCTCACACATCCCACTAACTTAATAGCACGTATCAACTCCATACTACAAGCACACTCACACACACACACACACAATTGGATTGGATCCACCAAAACTTGGTAATCCGTTCGTGTCTTATTCTCCCTTTATTTGTCTTTTTCCCACCTCCACCATGCGTGACACTTGCCATTAATTTTTTTAATTTTTTTTTTCCGACGATAGGTTTTATTTTGTAAACAATGATGTTATTTACATTAAAAAAAAAGATGAACTTAACTTCACAATAAACTAGTAATAATGTAGTTCAAATTCACATTTGATGTTTTTGACGAGAATCGAACCTAAGACCTCTCACTTACAAGTGAAGAAGAATACTACTGATGAAGTTTGAACCCATGCTATCATGGTAGAGCTCTACACATTTCCACCGCTGTTGTAAAGAACCATGATAAACTTTGTTAGACTAAATATTAGATTAGTCATCCACATAATTTGAACTCACGCCAACATTCAAGGCTTTGAACCATTTTACTAATATGATAGAAGACCACTGGTTATGCCATTGATTAAGCGTCTTCTTGCTGTCCAACTCAAACCACCACACTTAAATCACACAGCATTCAACCCATCTCTCTCTCTCTCTCTCTTTCTCCTGTTCTACCTGTGGCCCGTTGTTCTTTGACTTCTTTTTCTCTTTGGCTTTTCCTTTTTGCTCTTTTTTCTTTTTATTCTCTCTTCCCTCTCTCTCTCATTAATTATTATTACCGAGAGAGGTAAACTGTCGGTGGAGTGCGAGCATCCTATGATTCTATTGATCCATGAAGAAGAAAGTCTCTCTTCATTTGTGGTATTATAAGTCGTTGTTTTCTTCTCCCTTGACTTCCACAGTAAGGCATGGTGGAAACAGTTCTTGGAGCACCACTGTTTTAGCATTTTGGTCTCTCTCTTAATTGCCCAGGTGAGAACTTTTGGTTTCAGATAATTGTTTACCTTCATTTTCTTCATGCATGATCTTCCTCGCTCTTACCATGCTAAGAAATTTTAGATTTACTGCAAGACTTCTTGTTTCCTCAAATTTGGTGGTAATCTCACCATGGTTAATCCTAATTTATTTGTTTTTAATTTTTAAAAATATTTTTACGGCAGTAAAACGGTCTATTTGTTTAGATTGGTAAAGAGTATAGCAATTTGGTTATGAAAGCTAAAAATTCTGCCTTATTTTGTTGATCGGAGACGGAGAAATGCCACTGTTACCTTGTGGTTGATCACCCCTTCTTCCTTTTGAGAGGTTTTCAGCTGCATGCAGCCTCAGTGGACTGTAAAATTTTGGAGCCTGCACTGGGAGAAAATTAGGGTGCTTAAATCTTTGTTCTATGCTTTCCTTTTTGTGGTTATGATCATTAATTGTTTCTAGCAGACGTTGGTTAGGCCAGATAGTCACGGTTTGTGCCCCTTCTTGCACTCAAGTTGGAATCTTCCTATATCAGAATACTTCAGAATATCGGATGGTTAAAAGAACGGAAATTCAGTATTTCGAGTTTTTTTCCCTGCGTCACCAACAGCGTCTTAGTTAGGCAATCAATTCATTTCACTTTCATTTTTAAGGACACTGTTACTCTAATGCTTTGTTTCTAGCAGACGCAGGTTAGGCAAGTTGGTCCGGGATTGTGCCTCTTCTTGCACTCAAGTTCGAATCCTCCTCCCCATAGATGAGAATACTTTAGAATACCGGATAGTTAAAAAAACGGAAATTCAGTATTTCGAGTTTTTATCCCTGCGTTACCAACAGCGTCTTAGTTAGGCAATCAATTCATTTCACTTTCATTTTTAAGGACATTGTTTGTTACTCTAATGCTTTGTTTCTTTTATAAGTTACTGACAGTTTTCTACATGCTTAATTGGTTATCCGTTTCTGTTCTTGAATAGTGACCCGAAATCATGGACCACAAGGCTTGGCTTTGGAGGAAAAAATCTTCAGAGAAGACAATTCTTGCAACTAACAAAGTTGCCACTCCTTTGGGAAGAATTGAAGAAGAGGTAACCAATCACTTTGCATTTCGGATCAGCCAATTTGTTTCCCGAGTATAATACTGTTTCGTTTCCTGCATTTTGTCTGTCTTGTGCGCAGCAATTGTCCTCGGATATGCAGCTTATATGTTCATTTGACTTGCGCATCTGCTGTTTTTGTTTTAAGCCTTTTATAGTATACAATCCATCTATGTGCATATATTGGAGTAGTTTACTGGGGGAGCAAAGATGTTTTAATCTGATTATTGTACTACCGATGTTTTATCATGTTAGGTACAGACATTTTCATATCCAGCTGAGAAAGGAAGCGAAACAGAGAGATCGAGGAAAAATCTAAATGAGAAGTTAGCTTCAGTTCTCCTAGACCGCACTGTAAAAGAAGATCCCGTTCCAGAACATGCAAAACCGGAAGAAGAAGCTATAGCAGGTGATTGTAAGTTATTCTTCTCTTTCTACAACTTACAAATCTTTCTTTACAGGCTTCGTTGTTTTTTATATCATCGGTAAAATCCCTATTTTCTCATTGAATGCTCCTTTTGAGTTTTTGCTGATTGTATAAATAACTATTGTTTCAGGTGGTGAGAAGGCAGGAGAGTCGGTTTTAAAGCAAGAATTAGAGGAACCTTTGAGGCAGGGAGTATCCACAAATGAAAGATCAACTCATTCAGATGATGCATTGAACGAATGCATGCAGCAGCTAAAGTTTGTTCGAGAAGAACAGGAGCAAAGAATACATGAAGCAGTTATGATGACATCAAGAGAGTATGAGAAGGCACAGAAAAAGTTAGAAGAGAAGTTGAGAGAGACAAGTGAACAGCTTACACACTTGGTTGCTGAAAATACTAATTTGAACAGAGCCCTTCGAGCAAAAGACAAATTGATCGAAGATTTGAATAGACACAAGTCTCAAACCGATGCAGAATTCAGTGCCCTAATGGCTAGACTGGATTCCACAGAAAAGGAAAATGCTTTTCTAAGATATGAATTTCACATGCTTGAGAAGGAACTTGAGATCCGAAGTGAGGAGATGGAATACAACCGTCGGTCAGCTGCAGAATCCCATAAACAACATTTGGAGAGTGTGAGGATAATCGCAAAGTTAGAACAAGAATGTCAGAGACTTCATCTCCTTATGCGAAAGCGGCTGCCAGGTCCTACTGCTTTGGTGAATATGAAGAGTGAGGTTCAAATGCTGGGAAGGGATCAGACTGAGATGAGAAGAAGAAAGCAGAATCATACAAGAGATATGGTTGCAAAAGATGCCAACATGGGAAATTCTCCTGAAATTTCAAATAAGAAGATGAGTCTCGTGATTGAGCAATTACGAGATTTGGAAGAAGAAAACAAAACTCTGAGAGAAATTTTAACAAAAAAAAATGCCGAACTCCTTTCTTCAAGGACCACATATTCTCGAACAGCTTCCAGATTGTCACAGGCTGAGACTCAGCTTGGAGAGCTTTCTAAATTCCATAAATCTATGGAGCTGGTACCATGTAATGACATTTCTCGATATTCAAGGTTTGACATTGGCAGTGATGATAGCTCGTCCGAATCTTGGGCTAGTGCTCTAATTTCAGAGTTGGAACATTTTAAAAACGACAGACTTAAAAGTCCACAGGAATGTTCAGACATTAGCTTAATGGATGATTTTGTTGAGATGGAGAAATTGGCAATAGTTTCTGCTGGTAAACCTCCTAACAATGGGCATCAACATTGTTTTACCGGTAGGGAGCTTGTACCAGTTGAAGTCAGTTCCAACAGTGATGAGAGAAAGCACGGCCTGTCAAAAGATTCAAGGTCAGAGAATTCTTTTGATTGGCTTCAGGTCGTTTTAAAAGCAATGTTGGAGCAAAAGAATGTTTCGAAACGAAGTTTAGATGAGCTATTTGAGGACATCAAAATTGCCTTGGGTTACATAAATCCACCAACCGACAATGGACCTCGTAGAAGTGCAGTCTCAAGGCCTCTTGCAGAATCTGATCCTGTAGATTCTTTTGGTGGAGCTTTGAGTATTGACACTTCAGTGGAAGATAGTGGCAGCCAACGTTGTCAAGATGCTTCAAGCATGAGGAATAAAATCAATAAGCAATTTGGTTGGCCGGAAGACCGACGAGATAATGGAGTGAAGGGTGCATCTGCGGAGCAGTTGTTGTGTCTGCCTTTAGTTGCTTCTTCAAAGGAAACAAATGTTCCACTTCAATTGAATATGGTGCAGGATAAACTGCAAGAAGAAAACAGCAGATTGAAAGATGAACTAAAGAATATGGAAGCTAGCCTGCAGTCAGCAACCGAAAAGAATGAAGCGTTGGTCATACAACTTCAGGAATCACAACAAAGAATTGAAATCTTAAAGACAGAAGTGGAGAGTCTGAAAGAATCAGAGGGGGTGATGGTAGACCAGATCGAAAATCAGAAGTCGATTAATGAAGATCTTGATACTCAACTGACTGTTGCCAAAGCAAAGTTGAAACAAGTCTTCCAGAAGTTTTCTTCTTTAGAAGTTGAATTGGAGGATAAACATAACTGTTGTGAAGATTTAGAAGCAACATGTCTTGAGCTTCAGCTCCAGCTACAAAGGTAAGTTCCGGTCTCCTGATTTTTCTTTCTGCCGAAACTATGTAAAGCTTGTGTTGATTTGATTGATGAGACAACTCTGATTTGTGAAATGTTTAACTCAGTGCTGAGAAGGAGACTCTAACGCATGGCATAAACCAAGACGAAAAGCAATCCCCTTCCGTAAGTCCACGGGAATGTAGAAATCATCACTATCATTATATGAAAATAAGTAATCGAGCACATTTGTAAACTATTTTTCACTAGGCACAGCAATGTGACATGTTATATTTTGCAGGGATGGGAAATCACAACAGCTTCGGTGAAGCTGGCAGAGTGTCAAGAAACCATCCTAAACCTAGGAAAACAGATCAAGGCACTGACTACACCAAGGGAAGCACAACGTTTTGACAAGGTGTTCTCCACAACCAGCACTGCAGCCAATGCCACCAGCAATAACTTGAACAGGCGCTCTTCCCTGCTTGATCAAATGCTAGCTGAGGACAATCCCAAGTCTCCAAAAGATAATGAGACAACAACGGATGCAGATCCGCAGAAACCATCGCTTTTTCAGTCTGATAGTCACAATGCCTTGTCCACTCCTATCGCTCTGGTACATATGCCGGAAGGGCATCTAGGTTCAAGGGGTAAAGGTGGTAACAGCGCAGTTGGGAGTCTGGCTATTGTGCCGAGTAAGAAACAAGGAGGTTTTGGTTTGCTAAGGAGGCTACTGCTGCGAAGAAAGAAAGGAAGCGCCAAGAAACCCCAATCCTTGGCGAAAGTATGATTGCTCAAGAGCCATCATGCCTACTGAGGCAAATATGTGACTTTACTTATGCTTTTCGGTTGTTTGACAACGCTTAGAGGGTTCCTGAGAGATTTGGTTTTTTTTCTTGTGTAGGGTTAGTAAGAGAGTGAGAGAGAACTATGACATTGTAAGTATGGTTGATGTGTATGTCTTTGTTTGTAAGTGTGAAAGCCTGTAAGATTATCACTAATCTACCACCATTCTTCAGTTATGAATTCAATCTAATCCTAAAGATGCATTATATAATTATAATCTGAGTAAACCCACCTGTAATTTCATATTTTGTTTTTGGTCAAACGATAGATTTTGTTAGATTAGATGTTAGATTAGCTACTGACAGATTCGAACTCACGTCGTCATGCATGGGCTCAACCTTTTTCCACCAATAGCATTAGCCGACCAATTAATCCGTGTTTTCCAGTGGAAATGTTCATAAATAAATGTTAATATAGAAAAATTTGTCCATGCTAATGGGATGTAAAACTGTATCCCTTATCCATCACTGTGTTCAACCTCATACAACAATATAACATTCCATTAAACGTAGAGACGTTACTTCGTGCTTGTTAGGTTCGACCGATGGCTGCAGCTGCTTCCTTCATATCAAGCAAGGCCTCTTCAAAGCACTTGGCGAGGAACGCAGGGTCAGGGATGATATCTTTGGTCACCAAAATTTGCAAGTCTGCTCTTTCAGCATAGCTCACCAAGTGCATTACAAGTGCCTACATTACCAGCCAGAAAAATCATTCATGTTCTATCACATATATATTCACATTACATATATTTAAGTTAATCTTTGGGATTATATATGTGTGTGTATACATATATATATATTTACACACACACACACACACATACCTGGGGCAGGCTGGATGCATTAATTCTTAGGTAAGTTACAGGGTTGCCTCCAAGTGCAAGTTCTTCTTGCGGGCCAACTATATTTGAGATGGTAAAGCTAGCATTGCACACAAGCCTGTAAAGAAACCAGGTTGCAATCTGCAGTAGAATGGATATTAATAATATTTAAAAAAAAAAATTAACACCCAATTTTGTTTGGTATTCTCGAATATTTAATTAATTGTTTCAAAAGAATAAAAAGTGCAATTTGTTAAGAGAAATTCTAAGACCATCCCGTATTCGAGTTATAATCTAAAATTTTTAACTCATAAATAGTTTTTCTGCTCCAACTTTTTTGGATTAAATTTTAAGATCGATATTATTAAAAAATAAATTTAGGATAATTTTATTTCTTTAAAGTAATTTAAAAAAAAAATTATATAGACTATCCTAATTTAATTTTATGAACATTTTAATATCAAAATATTTAGATTCTGATAAATATTGAAAAATCACTAAATTGACATAATTAAATTTGTGGAACACTATGAAAGAATATGAAACACATGAAATAATTTTTTTTTATTATTTTAGCAGGTGGATTTAAATTTGGACCATTAGATTTTTTTTTTCTTACCGTTAAATTTGATCATATTATATCTTAACCGTTGGATTCAATAAATCTATAAATATAAAACTAAAAAAAACTCAGGGGAATTCTAGGTTAAATTTGCCCCATAAATGAGTTTTGGATTAAAACTCATATTTGACTTAAGGGTTGGAGTAGGTTGAGGTAGATTTTGAACCTAAAATTTGAGTTTTACTCCACGGGTTGGAGTAGGTCTCAAAGTGAGACTCATTATGGACCGTCCGCCACCTCATATTTTTTGCACAATATTTTATAATGTTGGCGCGATAATTGTGCAAAAAACATAAAGTGAGGGAGAGTCTCAATTTTGAAAAAGTTTCCTTAACATTTCTCTTTTTGTTATCCTCACCTTTTGTCCAAAGTAGGTCATAACAAAGCATGCAATTTTGTTTGAGAAATGAGCCTCCACAGATTTTTTCTTCCTGTCAAGCATCACCTTATTTCTCTTCAGACACTCAAGAGGATCAGTGCCGCTGCTCTTATGGCAATGAATAGGTAGGTGAAACATGCCGAATTTGTTACCCCAACTTGACCCAGAAGATTTCATCATATCGGATACCTGATCACATGTTCAAGCTTTTTAACTGTAAAACTGTACAGCCAAATTCAGCAAATGATTTATGTTCAAATTCAATCTAATTCCATTTTTGACAACGTTAATTCAAACCCCATAAGTGAGGGCCTTTTTAAAAATAATTATTCAATCAATACAAAAATTCGGAGCAACAATGTAAAACTTTCGGTTGCAAACTGAGCACATTTGCTTTAGATGATTTTTTTTGGTTTGAGGAGTATTTGGACATGATAGCTTAAAGGTGTTTTTAAGATTATATTTTGTGGAACTAATCTGAAATCATTTTTTTATGGGTGAAACTTATGATTAGGCCAATTTCGAATATAAAGATCTTTAAATAGGTTGATCATGTTTTCTTTCTGTTGTAATGAGTATTTTTCAAGTGCAAAGTTTTGAGCCAATACTTGGATGCCTTCCAAGTGAAGTGACTCTAAGAACAAAAATGTAACCCTTATTTTGATTAATATAATGATTTTGTTGCTCGAAAATTTTCTGTTGATTGAATAATTTATTTAAAAATGCCCAAAACTCATGGCTTTAATTAGAGTTGCAGAAAATGGAATTGAGATTGGTTTAGTGTGTAAGTTAGAGGTAAACAAATTTGTAAAAAATAAAATGTCTAAAATACCCTTGAGTTTAACAGCCCTTTAACAGAATGGGCGAAGTGAGACCAAGACAGTCGAAAATGTCTGGTTCAGAAGGCAAAGTGAGAAAAACTAGTTTCAAAGGGTAAATTGAGACTAAATGGTAGTTTCATGAGACATTTCAATTAATAAGCCAAGTTTGTGAACTATTATATTATATTAGTTAGTGAAATATTATATTATATCAGTTGCTACTTGCAAGTTGTGTCCTTTACCAATCGAACCGGCCAACGGTTTTGACTGAACCGATTTTTTGGCAACTGTATGGTAACAATTGGTTGGCAATAGGTGGTTTTCTAAAATTGTGTATATATGGCCGGCTGGTGGCACAATAACTTTAACACGATTTGTCAACCGACCCAGACCTATGTAATTAATTATAAAAAAAATAACAAAAATGCTACTCTTACCACCTATTTGTACCATCTATTGACCTATGTAATTAATTATAAAAAAAAAATAACAAAAATGCTACTCTTACCACCTATTTGTACCATCTATTTGATAGAGATGAGACCTTAGCGTGGCCTACTTGTATTTAGAGAGATAGTATAAATAGGTGGTAAATGTAACGTTACTCTAAAAATAAATATAAAATATATAAAGTTACAAACCTCCATTCCAGGCTGCTGTCTTAAATTTACCATGGCCAGCCCAGTAATTCGAAGTCCCTCTGACAAAACTGACGGGAAGAACAATTGGGTTTAGGTTAAGATGCGTGATCGAATGCCATTGAACTTATATAATTCAAACGAGACGTACAAAAAAATTAAGGACCGAAAATATGGGTTGCCTTTAAATTCTGATCCCTTTTGGCGTTGTACAAGAAAATTAAGGGGGTGTGCTATCAACACATCCAAAATTACTTCTCACACACCCCTTGTTAATTTATGTTTGTTGATCTTATTCAATTCATCCGATTTAGAAGAGTGTGGATATCACACCCCAAAATTAAGGACTGCAAAAATGGATTGCCTTTAAATTATTATACCTTTTGGTGTTTGGTGACTTAGGTATATTGATAGCCCAGATGAAACAACCGCAACAAGAACATCATTTATGGTCTGCATGGTGGCATAAAAAAAATACTTACATAAGTAAAAACACCGTGACCAACTGTTTGTTTTTGGATATATTTACTTTTTATTTTTCTAAATCATGGCGCTCATAACAATTTTCTCTGTAGTGTTAAGTTGCCAACATTTTATATGTGAAAAATCCTTAATTTTTTTTATACATAATCATACTCATTGGGTAACGGTTATATTCATCTTCATCAATGCAAAAAATTATTCGTTACATGTTATAAATTTATAGATATTAGTTCGATCATTAAATATCGATATCAAATCATAAAAAATATAACAATACTTTTTGGAAGTATTTATGATAATAAATTAAGGCAAATTGGTCCTATGAAAAAGAAAAGGGATGACGAAAGCAAATATAATAGCCACTACAAGAGAAAGACGAAACAAATTGTCAAATAATTTCAATACTAATGAATATACATACATATATATATATATATACATACATATATATATATATATATATATATATATTGTCACATCCCAGTCTTGACTATGCCGTATCACGATATTGTCCGCTTTGGGCTTACCATTCTCTCATGGTTTTGTTTCTAGGAACTCAGACAAGAACTTCTCAGTGGGTCATCCATCCTGGGAATGCTCTTGCCCGAACTTGCTTAACTTTGGAGTTCCGATGGAACTCGAAGCCAGTGAGTTCCCAAAATGCCTCGTGCTATAGGGAGGGGAGCATGCACATATAAAGCATATCACCCCCTCTCCGTTGGTCGATGTGGGATGTTACATATATATATATTCATATAAATAATAAAATATATTATGTTATATTGTATGTATAATATATATTATTCGGAGTAGATTTGGTGACAAATACGGATCAAGGACCCCTATAATCATATTTGAAATTGTAACGAAATATTATCGACGGTTTTTCCACATATCTTCAAATCCGCCCATTCATTCGATTATTCATGCGCGGTTATCGAGTTTAATGGTTTGAATTTTCATCCCTATGCATGACTGAACCAAGGTAGGTTGGTTATAAAAAAAAAAAAAAAATTAATGTTTGAATGTGCCTAATGTCTAACTACAGCAATGTATTTTTACATATACAAACCACAAACTTATAATTGTTTTCATTTTTTTCTTGTTTGTTTAATGTAAGCAAGCATGGTGGCGCATAGGGCGACTCGCTTCCCTTTTTCGTCATCGTGGTGTGTCCTTTTAGGATGATATTAGTCCACCTTGATTAATGAGTTAGTTTGTTTGAAGATTTTGTAAGTAATTGTTTTTAGAGATTTTAAACTTTAATCTTTAAAGAAGATTAAAATTTAATAAAAACTTGCTGTTAAATTACATATTAATTTTAGTCATTTTTCTGCGTCCTTGATTCAAACTTATATTATACTTTTGTTTAAATATTTAATGGATATCTTATTTAATGTCTCTACTTAAATTTTAATTTTATTATTAGACATATTTTAATTCATTAATTTTGTTTTACTCCTATAATTAGTGTAAACTAAATATCTGTATCATAATATATTTGACTGAATTTGTGTACATGTCCCTACCTAACTATATTATAATTATTAAGTGGAACATAAGAAAATATACAAAAACATAAATGTACCGAAAAATCTGTCCCTAAACATATTATACCAAACTAGTGTACCAAAATGTCTGCACTTAAATATATTATACTAAACTAGTGTACCAAAATGTCCATACCTAAACATTGTTGAATATACCACTGCCAACTCATCTCTGCCAGCTCATCAAAACAGTTGTAAAGGATTAGATGATGTAATAGTTAGTTGAAAGAGTTAGTTAGTCATCTAGTCAGCTATATATAGCTATTGTAAACATATGGTAAAGTGAGTTCATTGAGTTTAATACAAAAGCTTCATTCATTTCTTTCTCACGTTTCTCTTCTCTTTGTAAAACTTTATTTCTTGATTTTATAATTGTTCATCTCTGCCACTTCTCCAATGTAGTTAACATGGTATCAGAGCCACCAGGATTACGCCATGGATTCTGGTGGTTTCATTTTTCATTAGATTTCGTCGTTTTCATCGTTTTTCATTAGATTTTCTTCGGTGCTTCTGCGATGGTCCTGTAACTTCTTGGTTGATTTTTCGTCTGGGCTTCCACAATCTGGGTCGTCAACTCATCTCTACCACAGACGACATCTAGCAAACATATTACCACCCCTCCAACCCGATACAAGAATCCTCTTCTTTACCTCGATGGAGATTGCGAGCCTGCGGCTTCTCGAAGCCCTAACCTTAATAGTCTGATTGCTTGTTGTGATTCGGATCGTTGTCTCCCTTAGTGGAACTCCGAATTGCTATGTTGGTAGCTGGTGTGGAGGAAAGTTCAAAATTTGGGAGCTTGGTGTGGAATTTGACTCTCTTCCCTCTAAGGCACTATGTAGATTTTAGTATGGTTCTCTGCTGCTACTCGTCCCGTTTCCAATCATCAACTTTCTGACTTCGAACATTGAATGCCCTCTGGTGTCCAATTTACGATCACCCAACAATGTCGTTATCACATCTGGGTCACCAGTTTATGATGATGGACTCTGCATCATATTAGACATCAAGAACTTTTTCAAATGTCATCCTTAATTGGCAAGTGCATTCTTGCACATTATCTGTTTGACGAAATGTCAAAGAGTGATTTTGTTGGTTTCTTGGTGTAAGATTGTGCAAGATTTTGGTCTATTTCTTTCTTCTTTGTGGTGTTTGCAAATCAGCTCTCTGAGTTCTATATTTGCCATTGCTCCGTGTTCCTTTCTCTGGTGTGGAGAGATCTTGCAGATTTGGGATGTTGTCTGTTTCTTAATTCTCTGTTGTGTCTGCCTTGTGATATGGGATCTTCTCAGGTGATATTCGCTCTACATTCTTGGTGTGGTTTTCTGGTGGTTTTGTTGTATTTTTGTGATTTCGGAATTTATAGTCGGTTTCTTGAAGATATATGGGTCCATGTTGAAGATAAATGAGATAAACTACTGTTTCATTCAGTGATTTTGTTGGTTTACAAGATTTCAAGAAAATGTCATTCTTCTTGATGGTTAAGAAAGTATCATTCTTTCTTTAATTCCATAGAATTTGTCAAGAGTATCATTCTCTTGTTGCTTTAGAATTTGTCAAGAGTGTCATTCTCTTGTTGCCTTAGAATTTGTCAAGAGTGTTTGTGGACATACAGGAAGAAAAACAGATGATGCATTGTAGCAAGATAATACAACTGGACATAAGTTTTGGTGCAGTCAGTTTGCAAATCTTTTGTATCAATAGCTTAAATGTGCATCGGGTGGATGACTGGACTATTTTCAGAAATCTAGGCTGAAAGGGAAGTATTAAAAAGGCTATAGTTCATCAAAACATAATGGTTGACAATCACAACATGGGTACCATAAAAAAAGATAATGCAGATGCATGAAGACACCTTTAAACACCAAGAACAAAGGATTAATTGATGATGGGAGCAGGGCTAGGAGTATATGGACAAGAAGCACTTCATAATTCTGCATTTGTCAAAGCACTCATTCAATCTCAAATTGGGAAACCCAGTTGAGATTGAAAGGGGATGTTGAATATATCACTGCTAACTCATCTCTGCCAGCTCATCAAAATAGTTGTAAAAGATTGGATGATGTAATAGTTAGTTAGTCCTCTAGTCAGCTATATATAGCTATTGTAAATAGATAGTAAAGTGAGTTCATTGAGTTTAATACAAAAGCTTCATCCATTTCTTTCTCACATTTCTCCTCTTTGTAAAACTTCATTTCTTAATTTTATAATTGTTCATCTCTGCTACTTCTCCAATGTAGTTAACAAACATATTATACTAAACTAGTCTACCAAAATATCCGTACCTATAAATATATTATACTAAACTAGTCTACCGAAATGTCTGTACATAAATATATTATACTAAACTAGTGTACCGAATTGTCCGTATCTAAACATATTATGCTAAACTAGTTTACCAAAATGTTCGTACCTAAATATTGTAATAAATTAGTGGTACATAAAAAGATATGCAAAGTCATAAATGTATCGAAAAGTCTTTATCAAAATATTTTCTTATATAAGATACTTAACATAAATTGGTGTTGCAAAATGTGAGCAAATAAAAGCTCATTCATTTGAATTCAAATAAGTATTAAAATTTACAATATTGTTCATATAATTTAATTCATGGACACCAAAAAATTATGCAGAAGAAAGGAGATTAAATGCATATGTGACATTAAATAGAGTCTAGAAACTAAAATCAATTTATCTAATTTATATACAATATTTTTATTCAATTTGTGTAAAATATATTTTACACTTTCGTCTTATTTAATAATTAAAATCTAGTTTTCTATTGTTTTTTAGCATGAGTGGCCCTTTTTACTTCGGGATTTTTTTTCAAGTGATTTACCCGGAAAAAGGTTTTTTCAGGGCCACAGCTTTTACCATACTCTATGTACTCGACTTATTTCGTTTGCTTATCGAATGAAATCACTTACCGCATTTGGAACAGTTTTCTTGACGAGCTTCATGTCGTGAAGGCAAAACCTAGCCGTGGCCAACTTCCTTGGCCACAGCTCAACTCCATTGCCGCCGCTTATCTCAGTTTTCTGGTCAGAAAGCCACAAGCACCTCATCAGAAACTCCACCACAAATACCATGTTAAACCACAGCATCTCCACAAACTCTAGCAACCAAACCCACGACCTCTTCCCACCAGTGAAACCTACTAGTCTCTTTGATCTCTTCCCACCAGCAGAAGCCAAAGTTGGTATGTTAATATTCTTTTCTTCACCATTCACCAATCTCACCTCCTTCACAAACCCACCACCTAAACCCTTTTCTTCGTCATCTTTTTGGTCAACTTCCCTGAAACTCGCCAAGAACAGTGACATGAGCGACATCCCATCTCCCAATGCATGGTGGATTCGGAAGACGCCACAGTTATGGGCCATGAGAAGGTGAAGTTCCCAGAGGGGTTTGTCGACGTCGGTGCCTAGTATTCCAGCAGAGGTGGTGGAAAGGTCGGCCAAGTAGGCATTGACAGCAGTCTCGTGGTCAACGGATGGTGATGTGGTGAGGACAGGATTGTTGATGACGACAATGTGGCGGTCGAGGTCGACGCTGGGGGTGGTCTTATGCCAGTGCTGGAGGCCGTTGGAGTGGCGAAGCAAGAGGCTTGAGAAACGTGGGTGGGAGAGGACGAGAGAGGTTTTGAGGTGGGACTTGACGGCATCTATGTTTATAGGGTTTGTGAAGCCCATGGCGCAGTGGATTATTTGGTTCATTTCAGGTTGGAGGAAGAACCGACCTAATGGGGTTAGAGGCTCGTTGAATTCGGAGGAGTCAGCTGCCGACGAACCCATGAGAGAGAGAGAGAGAGAGAGAGAGAGAGAGAGAGAAAAAGAATGGAGGGAGGTTTTGATGCCTGTGCCCAGCTGCTAACAAAAGACTGAATTATGCACTGACCACTAGCTTTTAAGGCCGATTGAGAAGCCAAGTGTAGAAATAGAGAAGTTTTTCGGGGGACCGGGTAGACAAGAACCTGGAGTTCCGCACCTATTGCAAACTTACATCTAGAATATCATATTTTTAAATGGAATAGTGCTAAACATTTTGTAGTATCATTATTTGTGTCATCTCTTTAATAAAGGTAGAGCTCGCTAACACATGTGCAAGGTTCTAAAACACGCTAGGCTCAAATCAGACGGCGAACTGGGGCCTAGCGTCTAAACGGAGCTTAAGCGGGAGCCTAGACGGACTAAAAGGATTTGAGTAAATTTATTGTATATCATATAATTTAATTCAATTTACTATATAATATATAGATAAATATTGAATAACATGTTATTTAGAATATATATATATATATATATATGCAAGGAGAGTTTTAAGTACATAATTATGGAAGAGGATCCACTCCGGACTTTAGTGTCCGGAGCCTTCTCATCAAGCAATCTGGGCCGTTGATTGGTGTGCAAGTTAAATCAAGGTCGGTTGTGTGTGGAGGGTCAGGAAAATAAATTAATAGAAACCATTGGATTTAAATTGTGCGGTCCAGATTGTATGATGAGGAGGCTCTAGACACTAAGATCCGGAATGGATCCTCTTCCCATAATTATAAGGTGTGGTCTTAAAAAAACATTCATAAATATAACCTTAAAAAGAATAAAAAAATTAAAGAATAAAAGAGGATGTTTTTGTGAAAATGAGTAAGAAGAGAACATGATGTGAGGTTTCAAAAAATATATAAAATAAGGAAAAGAAAAGATAGTGGTCCCACCATTTGAAAGGGAGATAAAGAGGACAAACGTGGGTCACGCAAACAAAAAAATTAAGGGAAAGCATCTTCTTCCTCTCGTGCTCGCCCCTGCAACAACTTTTTTTTTCATATTCTGGCACTCTGCACATACCCCCGCTTAGTCTCTATCCAGCCCCGCCCAGTCCCGTCTAAGACCGCCTAATCCCATCTAGGTGTCTGCCTAACGTATTTTCGATTTTGTGTTCAACTAAGAGCAAATCGGATCGGTATTCGACTGTCCAGTGCCTAGGCGTCGTCTAGGCCGGTTTTTAGAACAGTGCACATATGGGTCTCATTTCTCTTAAAAAGATAGTATAAATGATGGTACAAATTGATGGTAAGAATAATATTTATGTTTTAAATGACACCATCCTTAAAACTTATTTTTCTAAAAGTAATTAATCAAAATGTGACTTTAGCGCTTGAAATTTAATTTTCTCCACATAAAAATTGACATAATTTTTTATTCAAATAAAACCTAGTGATTAGATTCTACATAAGTAAATTCATTAATTATGTTTGACTTTATAGATTATACATCTTTTGGATGCCTAAAATACCTCTATTTAAATGTTTGATGTACACAATTAATTCCATGCAGATTATAAGGAGGATTAATGATTTTACAAGAGAAAAAAAGTTTGATGTTAGAAATTCATTGTCTAATATATAAAACATAAAACCTGCTTAATATGGCAAATAATTTCCTTATGTGCATGTTTTAGCACATTATTCATTGTCTAATATGTCTAAAAGTTGACTTATGCCTAACAAATGTATTACACATATAGGCATGTTTTAGCTCATTATTCTTTTTGTAGATAAATTATTTTGCTTGCATTATTAATTTATGTGCAAATAATTAATTTTATTTTTATGTAAAATATGGACAAATTAATTTCAATCAAATAATATTTATTTATTTATTTATTTTGCAGATATATTATTCCACATGTCTTGAAAATATTATTTAATATATGTGATTGTGTAAGTCTTAGTTAAATTGGGTTTTAGATTACACATTATTCTAGTGATTCTGACACATTCCGACCTAAATCAGAGCATGTTGATATAGAGAAATATGAGTAAATAAAAATCCAACTATTAGCAGTACTAATTAAGATAAGGTGCAAGTGCGAGATTAAGTGTGAAATACATCATCAAAGCATACATAGCCTAAGTGCAGTCCGACTGGACAAGTACTAGATATATAACACACAAAGGTGATCCTACAATTGTGATGCTCTGTCAAAACCACCGTCGAAATCCCCGTGAGCCACCAAAGCACTTCTACCTAAAACCTGGAAGGGCGCAAAACAGAAAGTGTGAGTGGGCAAAAACAAAACTTTTCAAAATCATTTCATTTCTCAAAAATTCTAACCCCTCGCCGTAAAACCTGTATAATTTCCCAGAAATTAATATATACTATAACAGAAATCATGCTTAGGATGCAAATCCATAGAAATATACCATGCCAAAATATCTCAATGAAATGCCATAAGTAATCCAATTAAAATATATCAATGCTAGATATCATATCAGCCGTATCCACCTAACGTTACCTGCACGGCTGAGTATATAGCTCATAACCAATCTCAATCATATCAAATCCTGCACACGAGTCGGAACCACCTAAAGTGGTTTGTACGACAAGACTAGGTGTAAAATGAATATGCTCTAGTGCTACGATTACGTGAAGGCTGTGCGAATGATCGCGAGTTGCCTACGAGTCGGAACCACCTAAAGTGGTCTGTACAACAAGCCTGTGCACCTAACTTGGATCCAAGGTAAGCATATGGTGCGGGAGGTGAACATCACGTGAAGGACTGTGCCCTAACTCTGGGCGGGAGCACTAACACCGGGGTGCAGGTTTATGAGCTCTCAATACATCACATCATATCTCGCATAACTGAAGTAATCTCATATCTTTAATTTATGAACTTACTTGGCACTTACCTGTGCGTCCGCAACACCAATCATAAATATATGCAACTACTAATGCATAAATAAAATAGGCAGATACTTTGCATGGCATTTCAAAACGTATAATCATTCAATTTTATTTTCTGGGAAAAATCTCAAGTATATAGGTATATACGAAAAACCAAAAGCCCACTCACTGATATGTCAAAAGTTCGTAGCCCCTGAGCCTCGATTGATGGCGCTCATTCTTCAGATAGGTCTTACTTATATGCGAAATAACTAAATAAACGTTATTTAAAGCACATACACAAAACTAGGAAATAACTTCTCCTACAATGCTCAAATGGGGTGTTTGAATATACCAACGTGATCTACTCAACACCATGAACAACCCCATATTTTTAGAAAAATTTTCCGACCACCCACGCGCGACCAACCCTGATGGAAACTTAACAGCCGCTAGGAATATTCCGTTAAAACCTTAACAGAAATTAACGGCGTTACCTGACGTCGTTAGAATATTCTGTCAAACTTGACGGAATACTCCCCTTCGTCTTCCTTGGTTTGCCGGAGACCATCGCTGGCGTCGCTGCGATCGCCAATTTCTGGAAAATATTGAAACATTCATATCTTTTTCATTTCTGAACCAAAATTCATGAAATTTGTCTCAAAATGAAGCTTAGAGTGAGTAGAACACATTCTTACCACTTTCAAGCCTTGAAACCCACAGAATCTCGCTTGATAAACCTTGATAATCCGGCCAAAACTTGAAACTTGCGAACTGGGACTTCCCGACGTCCAAAACACTCAAACTTTCCTCCTTGAGCTTCGGGAAGACGTCCTAAAGCTACTTAGAACCTTGAAATGCACTGAAACTTCCACGATCACGACTGCATGAATAGTAACCCAAAACTGGGTTATCTGGTTCTCGGGAAAATGAGGTCTTCACGTCCAACCAAGGGTATGGATGGGCTCCTGAGCTCACAAAGAACACAAATACCACCTTCATAGCCTTGATCCATGCCTGTAAAGGTTGGTTTGAAGTTTGTTCGTACAGTTGTACGGATAATGGATGAAAACCGAGAGAGGGAGGAGAGAGAAAGGTCAATAGGTAAGGGTATAGGTGTGAGTATGTGTATGGTCCAGCTTTGGGTTACTAATAGCACTAAAACCACTAACTTTAAGTTCCAAAACTTAAGAACTAACTAGATTAGTCTATAACCCAAACTCAAACCACAACACTATATAATGAGCTCAACGTCCAAGGGCAATTTAGTCATTTCACGTCATCGATAAAAAAATAATTCGGGACGGGTTGTGATAGATTCTTTCCTATTAAACTTTGCATTACTTGGTCTTGTCTCTTCTTTCCTTGGACCCAAGTTTCTATCGTCTATTGACACACCCTGACCACAATAACACAAGTTACAAGGCCGAAGCCTGCTGGCTGTCATGGAATTGACCATATGACCCCATCAAGAGATGACATCATAAGGCAACTCATTGACGTAAGCCATAATAAGATATTTATGATGTGCAAGAATTTAAACAAAATGTTCATTATTCAATAAAAGGAGAAATTAGGTTATCAACCCTCTTTCTTCTATTGCATTAATTAAAACTTTTTTTTAAAATTTTTTTATCAAGGTCCCTAGCTTTTAATGAACGTCATTATTTCAATTATAAATTATTTACATTTATTTCTAAATATAATGTTAGAAACATTACATTTGGTATATTTCTATTTATGATTAAACTTTGTATCATATATTTCTATTTTTTGTTTGTACCAATTTTAATTGGCAACCCCTCTTTATTTTGTACCAATTTTCTTTTTAGTTTTAATTTGTACCCATATATTAATTTCATTTTGTGCCCATATTTTTAAAATTTGTATTTATACTCATAATTTATTTATAATGTACCCATTTTTCTTTATAAATGTGCCACTTGGTTATATGTAAAATGTAACAATTTTTTTGTTCGTTTGTAAATGTACCATTTTTTGATGTAAAATGTACCCATTTTTATTTATAATGTATACATATTTATAATAAAATGTACCATTTTTCAATTTTTTTGAACACTATAGGTACATTCGTTTGACATTTATTATTTCAAAGTTATATTGTTACTTGTTTTTATCTATTTATTCAATCAAAATTTTTGAGTATTTTCTTTTTTATTGTAATCAGTTTTAATTTATATGCCATATAATATGGGATTTTAAATCTCATTACATGTCAAATAATTAATATCAAACATATGGAAATACATATTAACAATAATAATGAGGTGTACAAAGTCAAGGGACATTGATCAAAAATTGAA